GCGGAAGGCCGTTGGTCCCGGGGGGGGGCGGTGCGGCAGTCGGTGTAGTTGCCGGCCCTGACAAGCAGCGTTCAGCCCTGAACTGTTGCTTTTCTCCCTTTTTTGGGGGGTGCGGGGGGTTGACTGTCTGCCTTTCCTTGAGGTATTTTTCAGTATGTTTTTAGCAGAGGAACTGATTAGTGATTTAGGAACTCTTTCTACAGCAGCAAATGGGGCAGGAGCCCTAATCCCAGTCTGCGTTGGCCCTACAGGTTTTGCTAGGCTACCAGAGGTGATTTTTGGGTGGTGGGGTGGGATATAAATATGTATGCATATAAACATGTATATAACTTTTTTTGGTGATGCTTTGATGCTCTGATTGCTTTAATCTTCAGCTACTCCATGTACTTTTCAATACTATGTATTTAACGTGAGACTTCATGGCACTTGAGTGAGCATATGCTGTTCACTTCAAAGGAAAAGCTGTCAGTCTTCCTTAGAAGGAGGCTGTTAGAGGCTCGTGTTAGAGGTGTCCCCAGACTGCCCTGCTTTACGGGGTGGTCCTCCCGTTCTGAAGGGGGCTATGGAGAAACAGTGTCAATGTTTTTAGGTTTTTCTCCACTAGTGTATGCCTCTTTGTGAGGGCGACCTTCTTTTCAGCTGTCTACTTTTGCACGTGTGCTTCTGGCATCCCATGTCTGACCGGGTGAATAACCGCTGTATGTTCCTTACCCGTTTTTATCCTTTTCCTCAGAGTTCCTTTTTTCTTTCTTTACCAGGGAGCGATGAATCTAATCGAGACTCAGAAGTTGCTCCTAGAGAGCACATTGGCCCTGGAGGCTCCATACAACCTCGAGAAGAAAAACAGGAACCCGTGGTGGTTCGGCCGTATCCGCAGGTTCAGATGTTGACCCAGCACCATCCTGTCCAGTCTGGTGCCCCGGTGACAGTGACAGCTTCACCAGCGCATTTGACTCCAGCTGTACCACTTTCCTTTTCAGATGGACTTATGAAGGTAATGAGGAGGCTTCCAATGCGTAGGAGAA